AACATTAGAGTCCGATATTGTTACACCTTGAAGTGCCGCTTTCATTATTTTCTCTGCTCGGGACGTCATTTTTTCTGTACAAAAAATAGGTATTTTAAAAACAAACTACTAACATTTTCCACATTTTGTCGGATATTTTTGCGCATTTTGCTATTAAGTAAATAGCTTATGTTTTTTCGAGTCTCTTAGTTGAGTATTGAAAAGCAACCTTTTTTTATTTTCCAAATTTGCTCAAGATAGAAGACAATATGAAAGGGATAATGACAACAAACTTGAAATGCAATAAGAAAGCAGAACCTGCTAAATGAAAGTAAACGAATCAAAAGCCACGCATGCAATAACGGCTAACTGTAAGATTTTATAAAATAATTTTTTTCCATGCTAGTGGTTATTTGTCTTAAGAATACTTACCTCAATAGAAAAACACAAATCGCGTTTAATTTTAAATAAGAACAATAATTAATAAACTACACTTGTAAACACCATAAAACGAAATAACGTTGTCACAACACGCGTGGCGAGCTAACCTCTAATAGAATACAATTGGCAAGTGAGAGATAGCAGGTATTGTCTTCGCAAAATCAGATGCACTGGTTATGGTAGGTATTGCTTTAGGTAAATAAACCGCATTCTACAAAAAATATAAACTAATATTGTGATATTGATTTCAACGTATGAAATATATATATATATATATATATTCCGAATGCTACCATGCGCTAGAGCAAGTATCAAGCAACTTTACCATAGTACTATACATACCGCCGGGGATATGTAAACAACTGTTCAAGTAAGCCCCATCTAGTTGTGCGTCATTTTTTGAGTTCCGCAGCGTGGGGACCTGTAACCTAACACTATTATTTATTTAATTCTGGAACCGTGGATATCTCCGGCGACAAGAAAGTGAAGAAGACTGTAACCCTAAGATTATGCAATGAACTCGAATAAAAAACATTACAACGAAGACTATTTTCTGGAATTTGAGGGATATTTATTTATTCAATGTTAATATTAATAGTATTATTTGTGATTAGTATTGAAACATGGAAGATAGTAGGTACCCAGGTTGGCCTGGACAATCATTACAATAACTAATAATACGCCGCACTTTTTGTCTGCTTCGCGGTTTGTCATATTTTCACGTAGTGTATTGTAACAACCCCTGCATGGTTTTCTCTTTTTTTTAACTGGTCCTTCCAGTTTAACTAAAGTATGTAATCTCTTCTTGACTGACACGGTTACAGACTCTTTAAAACTAACAAGATGTTTACGGAATGCAAAGATGATGCAACTTGCGCAATTCTGTCATGCAGTATGATGCAATAACCGTGGAAGTAGCTGCAAAACTGCATATATCTCCGGGGACACGTGCCGCACAGAATTAATTTGTATTAGTCCTGTTACTTTCATTGTTTTGTTGCCTCGAATACATTTTGTTTTGTTTATATATATATTGTTGTGTTATTTTGTTTTAGTTGTAACTTGAAAGAAATTATAGAGCGTCTGGATGTGACAATTTTGTTTAGTTCAATTAATTAACCGGGGGGGTTATTAATAATTTGAGACACAGGATTGCGTAAATTTCATGTTATAGTTTTGGTTCAATTTCTTAGAAGTGTTCTGTTTTTATTTTATTCCTAGAATTTTTTTCGATGTAAATTTCTTTTTAAATTTTTATTTGCCGTTAACGAGGTATAGCGCGAAGTAGAGATAAGGTTGTCTTCGCAGAATTGCCGGGCGTACGTGCCGTTTAGCAAGAAGTTGAAAAATCGACGCTTCGCGTGATTGGCGGGCGGGATGTTGAAGAAAGGAGAAGGGCTTTTGGCTTAAATAGAAAATTTTTGAAGAGAGCGGGGCTTTTTGGTCGTTACAAAGCCAACCGGCGCTTCTTCGGTTACGTTATTTTTGAATTTTGTGGAAGTTTCTTGCGTAGTGGATCCAGGTTTAATTAGAATTTTTGTTTGCCGTTTAAGAAGAATTTTTGAAAAGTTTAAGAAGTTTGTCGCCGTCCTGTTTTTTTTTATTTTGCGGAAACACGGAAGTTTTGAAAATAATTGTGGGTACCCGAAGAGAGAAGACGTCGGTGTTTGAGTGTTTGGTTTGTGTGAAAATTTTTTTGTTGTGATCGTGTACGGATACCTCTTTGTATCAGAGTACGTTACTCGGACAAATTTAAAAGTAAGTAGTAGTTAGTGGTTTGTTTTGTCATGTTTTTTTTGTAATGTTTGAGTAATTTGTTTTTTTTTGTGTGTCATTTATCTGTTTAAAATTGTAACAATTTGTAAAACAGAAATTTACGCAATTTTTTGTCTGAAATTAAACCAGTCATTGCAATCCAGGTTTTGTTTATTAGAGTCAAAGAGAGGTAATTGTCGGCGTCTCTTACTTTGTTTCAAGTTTATTAAATCTGGGGGTAAAGTTTCATATTGGAATTTAAGGATTTGGTTAAGCCACCTATTCATGTCATTGTTGGAATGCTGTAGGGTGGCAGAATCCAGCTGGACCTTGAGATGCGTGTAAAAATTTGGTTTTTTTTAATTACAACTGAGCTAGTTAGAGGTAAATCGTGGGATTCCCAGAAGTGAAAGTTAGGTCTCACAACAATATATATATATATATATATATATATATATATATATAATATATATATAGTTTGTCCCAAATCGCATGGTTGCATGGGTAACTTTGTTATTATTAAAGATAGAGAATTGGTTAAATGGGCAATGTTTTGCAGTTTTAGATGCTTATTTAAAATTTCCTTATGGAAATTCAAAATGTCGCATAGGTTCGACGTAAGTTCAAAAAAACTAAAATTGGTCATTTCCTTGAATGTCTTATATCATCGAAAGTATAAGAGATATAAAACAAAGTTTTATATAAAAGTGACTGTCTTTGATACGCTTAATTTAGAATTGATGTAAAAAAAATTCAAGATGGCTACTTATGAGGAACATTTACCTACCAATTTTTTTTCAGGGTTTCGGAACGACAATTCGCTGCTATATTCATCAACAAACAATAATGTAGCGTTGTTGGTCCATGCAAATTGGCTATCAGTCACAGTTTCTTGAAGTGTAACTTCTTCTCCTGCTCCGGGTTCTTCCTCTGTAGTGGCGCTACAGGATTTTTTACCATCTACAACATGTGCTATATTGTGTAAATACTATTGTATACTCACGCTTCAGCACCAATTGATTATCTACCAAGACATAATCGTTTAATACTAATACGTCTTTTAATTGCAATGCCATTTCACATTACACATAAACTGAGTATATAAACAAAACAAACGCAATTATGTGAGGTTAAGTTTCACAGCGCTTCGTATGTAAGCGAAAAATTTTTACGCTGATTGAAATACACAACTGTTGACGGTCAGCGCCTTAGTCAGCGTGTCGTTTAGGGAACTATATTGGCAACTGTTGTCAACAGTTGTGTTCCCTAAACGCGCCCATTGATTTATATTTCTTTGCGTTCCATGATTCTTCCTGTACTTGATGCCGCTTCTTCCTGTTTTTGACCTTTTTCTCCTCCACTATTTTTTCTTGCACTTCTATGGAAATAGGATGGATCGGTATCCAGTACGTCACTATCGTTAGGTTCGTAATCGCCTTCTTCAGTTGAATCTAAGCCGGTGCTTATCCTGTATGTCCATCTACTTCTGCGACCCCGTTATTTTCTCTATTTACTGTATCATTTTGTAGCAATTTGTTAAATGCCTTGTTCTAGAAAAAATGTAAGGAAATAATCTTAAAAAATTTCTAAAAAAAATTATGGTAAATAAAGAAATGAATAATAAGGTATTTCTTTTATTTTGAAAACTGTTGAATCAAGGTCAGGGTTTAGGAGAATATTATCAAAAGGTAAAAGGTGCGATTCAAAGCTATTTTCAAACAATACCGCTTGTCCATTTTGATTGTCATCGATAGTGTTTTTCTTTGTGCTTATATACGCAACATCATCGCAAGGACTATGATCTCTAGGTGGGATATTACACGGAATCATAAACTCAATTGACACATTTTCTAGTTCAACGAAAGGGGTTTTCTCAATAGCACTGTATGGTACAACTTTCAAAGGACGAATGTCACCATGTTGTACAGCTAATGGCGACACCGATTTCAAGTTGTTTGAGTTCAAATCTAAATAAATAGGTAATATTATAGATATTAGTACAATTCTGTTTATATTACCAGGTTGTGCATCCGCTTCAGAAGTGTTAGCTGGTGAATTATTCTCCTTTTCGAGTAATACTGGTTTGTTAACCATATTTAATATTTTCAGAGCACGAGACATTGTACTGCAAATAAGATATTTTAGCTATGATAATTCTTAAGCGATGAAATTATTGAAGTCCAATAATTAAAGACATTGTCGATTAGAAAACACACTTTTTAGTATTTTATTGCTATAAGAAAAACATGTTCCGTTCTGGCGTTAACGGGTGCAATATAATACAAAGAAGAAAACCTCGTAAATCCTAAACTGAAAAAATCGAAATTCTAAGTGTGTTGCAAAATGTTAACAGCAAGTAAAATGCAGAAACTGATAAAATATCTAGTTTACTCATTAGGCCGACGATATGTAATTCCAATCTTCGTCTTTATCTGTATCAGTCTTATCACGAATAACTACTTCTTTACATTTTTTAAATTCCAAAAACTTACAAACGTATCTTCCAGTTTCCATAATCCACACCATCAAATATGGGTATAACAACGTTGTCGTATTTCAGGAGTGGCATCGTAAAAAAAAAGTTTCCCTTTAGAACGTAACAACGGGACGTAAACGAACGAAGATCAAAAAAGGCGGAAGAAAGGCGAAAAATCATGTAGAAGTCAATTTTGGCACAGATGTAGGGGAAGGTATCCTGAACAACATACTAAAAGTACTGAGGGGTGGGGTGTGAGCTAAGGGACCGGGGGGGGGGGGGTGTTAAAGATCCCTTTTTAATATTCCGTGAATAACTTGAGAACTGTTGCTCGTAACTACCGCCCTGACTAAGGTCTACCCCGCTATTTCGGCAAAGTTGTATGGCTCGCGTTTGAAGTAAGGGACTACCCATCTGCATACCATGAAGCATAGGATCATTGTTTTTAAACGGTATTGCTAGGACTAGGGCGCGCGCTAAACACTTGTTTTCATTGATTGGAGTTGGTACAACGATAATACCATGTCTTTTGGCTTTACAAAAATCCTCAAATTTCAACTCGGTTTTTACGCCCATAGCCAACAGGTACCGTCACTCGATCCACGTTTAAAACTAACACGTCATTCGAGAAAAAAATTGCATTGCTCTGCATTACTTTTTCAAGTAATGACATTATTACGCCCACCGACAACTGGTCCACTCTTCTAAATGAAAAACCAATCGGTTTGTCAGGATAATTCGGATTTCTTAGTGTAATTCCAACGCGATCTGCTGGAACGGAATCCTTTACGATGTATGAGTGTAACTCTTCGAATGAACTCTGTAAAAAATCGCAATTTTGTCACAAAAAATTCTAACATTAAAAAATTCATGTGTCTTTACCTGTAGCCAAGTTAAAGGGTTATCTTTACATGTTTCGTTGTTGAAAGTAAATTTCAACGATTTACATGTCGTGTTAAATTTTTTAATAAATTTCGTGTCAGACTCCTCTATTATATTAATATGATTGAAGTTCATGCGGTTAGAGGAAGGAGAAGGAGCAGTCATTCCTGAACCACCTTGCACGAAGTCGTCTTGCTATAAGTAAAATAAAAAAATTAAGTATTTCATTGTAGAGAACGAGATATCTTTTTTTCTTCTTTAAATTATGTCACACACCTTGGGTAGATCGCTTGCAGCATCCTGAACCGAAGCAGCAGCAACGCTAGAGGTACTTGGTCCATCAGAGCTATACACTTCGGCAGACCTTTCCTCTTCATAAGATGGTCTAAACCATATGATAATTACATTCCAATTCAATTTAGGTACAACTTTTGTCACTTACATTCCTCCACCAACAGATCGGACAGCTTCCACAAAGGTGTCATACAGATCCGATGAATCAATATTGTCACCTTCGAACACTACCTTGTAATTCACGAGATTATAGGCCTGTATAATTCCATCGGTACTTGCTAGCACAGGATTCAGATACACCGAACAGAATTCTTAAGAATCTAAACGACGCGACAGTGCTAACCTTATCTTCATCATTGTTTCCTACACTTGGTTGCAACTCTGTAACTGATGCTACCAAGCAGTTAAAAGAGAGTGTGATTGGGAAGTCCCGTACAAATTCCTAGTTTATAATCTGTATTTGTTTTTAATAATACTACATGTATGCAAATCCTCGTAAGTATTTATTCACTTGCACTGCCTTATCTTCATAGGTTTTTACTTCCTGTAGTACATGAGGTAACGGGCGATCAAAAATGAGTTGCTGTCGTTTGGAAGTTCAAGTTAAATACGATTTCCCATATAAACAAAAATTCCAAAGGTGACTCGACAGCAACTCATTTTTGATCGCATGGTAGTTGTGACAAAGCATTCATATGATAGAACTCATTATCTCTAGATATAGCAGCATCACAATTCTACTTAGTTTAATAATTGTTAAACTTACCTGAGGTTTGAGACGATGGCCCCGGTTCCACCTTTCGTATATCCGGGGTTATGGTTTCTACATGTAGCATTTGATCAATTTCTTGTTTATCAGTAGCCTCGTTGGTAACATCCATAATTTCTGCAAACACATATAATTGTTATAACTGCAATATAATGCTTGTAGTTGTGCAATTTAACGTTAAATTAAAACAGAATTCAAGTAGGTGCTCACCGTACTCATGATCGTCAATGACATATTCATTAATTAATTCCTCGTCTACTTCCTCTTCTAATTCCGGAGAGTAGTTTTCCTTCTCTTCGCCAACGTTAACCAACTTGTTGGCATATTCTGTCCTTGCTCGTTTTCCCATTTCCAACAATTGCCCTGAAGTTAAATTCACGGCAGATGGTTGAAACCTCTTGTAAAAGCGTGTCCTTCTCCGAATCCATACCCTCTAATCCAGATCTAAATTAAAATTTAAACATACATTTTTATTTTATTACCAGACCAATGATGCTTACCTAACATTATCGATTTGATCCTTTTTGAGCCATTGCTCGATAAGTAGCAATAAATGTTGCTTCAGGGTACGTAAAGTGAAGGCCTTGCCAGTCACAATTTCCACATTTCGGCGTAACAAATCCCAACCCTCGTCACCAGGAGCAAGGAATGGATTTTCCCTGACGAACTCCCTCAATAGCACCAAATCATCGTTATAGGTAAATCTGAGTCGACATTTTTTTGGACGGCAGCTGCTCACCAATTCACTCGACATTTTTAAGACAAAGTACAAAGAAATAAATAAAATCAGTTCTACGTAACTAAAATAACACAACGTTTTTGAGGTTAGGAGTGATCTCAGCTGATTATAAGGAATATAACGTACCCTTAAATCTTTACCGTATTCTGTCGTAATTAAGGGAACGCAGTATTTTATTAAGGTTCCCTTAATTAAAATTTTCTTGTGCGCAAGCCCAGATGTCAGTTTAACGTTTACTTTAATAAGGGAAAGTGTAAATGCAGTGTCCAATAACTCCCTATTATCTAACAATAGTAGTTTATTCTTCCACGACATATTGCTCTCGTTTGCACCATCAACTAGCAACTGACTGAACTGGACTGATAAAACACTCGCTTTCGACGCTTTCTTTGCTTGTGCATACGTAGGACAAGCCAACGCTCTGACCGTGCGCAATCCGCACCGCGCTTGCCGGCCGAATCGCACGCTCTCTTTTGATCGCTCACCTAGGACGGAGCGTTAGGGTAAGAACATGCCGAAGATGCTCTACTGCGATACCTCGCTACCTTGCACCATCGCCGCTTACAACGATACATGGATGTCAAATCAAACCTATATTTTAGAACGTTGGTGTTCATACCGAAAGATGCTTTACTGCGATACCTCGCGGTCTACATGGAGGTTTTGCGCGATGCCTGCGGAGAAACAAAATAGTTTGTTTTTCCTTGCGGTCTACATCGATGTAGCGATGTGGACTCGGCTCTGATTGGTTGAATTAGCTTACGCCACCTCAAGCGGTAGCGTATACACGCGTTACTTCGGTGTAGTGTTTTGGCGTGTTTACTATTTGTACTTTGCTTAAGAAATGGATGTTAAAAAGCACAATTTAATTGAATTAGTTTTTAATGTTCCTCCGTTGTGGGATAAGCGGCACAAGCAACACCATAATAGGTATACTCTGGCCAAGGAATGGAAGAAGATTGGAGCTGAACTCGAGATGACCGGTAAGTTTTACTTATGTAATTATTTATTTATTTATTTATTCTAAAAAGAAGATGTAGGTCTTAAGTTAATTCTATTATATTAAAAAAGAGTATAATGAATACAAATTATAATTATCATTATTTATTAGTAATCAGTTATTAAGCATTAAGGGAAAAATATTCAGCGAATGTATCTCGTACTGTTTTCGCGTTCCGCGTTGAAGGATTGTTTGCTCTATTACGTCGGAGCATACACTGGGAAGGAATTTGTGGGACGTCCATGCCATTAAAACTGTGATGGCCCTCCTTATCAATTATTGTGTTGTGAAGAATGCATATCGTCTTGATCACAGTATCTACTGCTGTTTCTTTGATTTCAATAACCCCCGACAACAATCGCCATTTTGAAAAAATAACGCCAAATGCACATTCGATAGTTTTGCGAGCCCGTGACAATCGCTTGTTAAAATTTTCCTGCGTTGCTGTCAGTGTACCTGAATAAGGTTTCATTAGATTTTCCTTCAAAGGGTAGGCTTCATCGGCGATGAACACATATGGTAGAGTATAGTCACTACTGGGGAGTTTTCTGTGCGATGGTATTCCCAATTTATTATTTTCCAACAGTTTCGATAAGGTAGATGCACTGAAGGTACCTCCATCACTCTGCTTTCCGTAACCTCCTACGTCGATAGATATGAACCTATAGTGACCGTCAACTAATCCTTGCAAAACTATTGAAAAATACGATTTGTAGTTGTAGAACATCGAGCCGGAGTGAGCTGGGCACTTTATTCTGACATGTTTCCCATCCAAAGAACCAATGCAATTGGGAAAATCCCACAGTCTTTCAAACTCCTCTGCAGCACATAAAAAGTACGACGTTGTAGGTGCTCTCATGTGAATAGGTTGTAGTCTTGTCCAAAGAATGTTGCATACTTGGTAAACGATTTTGCTAACGGTAGAAGCTCCCATTCTAAAAGAAAAAGCCAATGTTCTGAAGCTGCTTCCCGTAGCGAGATACCTGCAAATTAATCAAAACGAAGTGTTATAAACAATTTCAAATTTTTACAATGAGATAAAGTTCGTTCGATAAATCTTAAGTTAGTTTTATTATACTTACTTTTAGTTTTATTTATTATATTTTTATGTTCACATTTCCAATTTCTACGAATTTTGTTAATTTATTAAATTGTTACAGTTACGGAGGTAAAATCTCGGTGGAAAAACCTTAGACAGGAGTTCGGTAAACAATTTAAAAAGTACCAGGGAAGGTCTGGTGATGGAGCACCGGAGGAAGCTGCAAGTCAATGGCCGTTCTTCCAAAAATTACAATTTTTAAAAGATCAATTTACCCCCCGGAATTCATCGGGAAATTTAACACGGCCTGAAAATACTGAAGAAACTGAAAATACTCAAAATACTGAAAATACTGAAGAGGTCAGTGACAGTGACGATGTCGATGAGGAGCGAGATATCCGTCAGGAGAGTGTGGATAGTGTATTCAGTTCACACGGTCTGGAGTCTACTTCTGATCGACAGCCCTTTCTTCAAACGCCGACATCTTTATCCAGTGAGCCTCAGTCAGTCTCAAGAACTGGATACAGAAAACGATTAACAGCACAAGCTATAATTGGAAAAGAATTGCTGTCTCTAGAAACACAGAAACTAGAGTTGGCAAAAAAAAGAAAAATTCAAAACGTTAATGACGAAGATATTGGTTTTTTTAATTCACTATTACCAACTGTGAAAAAACTGACTGATAAAGATAAATTCATTTTTCGAATGAAGGTGCAGAAGACACTCTTCGAACTTGCATTTCCAGAAACGGAAAATCCAAAAGTGTCAAATGCAAAACCTTCTACTACCGTACAAACGTCTACTTCGCGGCATAATCAAATTACTCAGGAAGAAACAATAATTCAACAGGAATCTGATCAACAGATTATACAATATTGGAACTTTAATCCTTTTTTAAGTATTTTTTTTAAGTTTAGTATTTTTGTATTTGTTTAGTTTCAATACAGTTATTTTGTAATAAATACCTACGCATACTTTGATTGTTGTTTCATGTACTAAATTGCAAAAGGACGTTATTTGATAAAGTTCAACTTACCTTAAAGTCAGCACCAGTCTTTCCTCAGCCAGAATTGGATTGGTATGTAAGTTGTTATATTGCAAGACATCCAGTTCAGACTCAATTTTATTGAGTATATAATTAAATGTTTCAATTGACATTCTCGTGTAACTGTAAAATTTTTCTTCGTCTTTCTTCAGTTCTTGGAAAAGATGGTGATATTCCCCAAGCTCTTGCCTCTTTTCATTCACCGGGTGTGCACTGTACCTCCGGTTTGATAAGCTGCCTAAAATCCACCACTTTACCGCTGATGACATAAATTCACACTTACTGTCACTAGAGAACATTGTTTCGTGGGAACCGTTAACAAATAAATGAAAATCTCGAAAAATGGAGTGGGAGATTACATCGCTGTATCGACCGCGATGGTGAACGGGTATGAACACCCAACATCCATGTTAAACATCGAGGTATCGCAGTGAAGGTGCAAGGTAGCGAGGTATCGCAGTAGAGCATCTTCGGCATGTTCTTACCCTTAGTCGCTCCACAAAAACCGACAGATATCGAATATGACAAATTAATCACAATTTTGGGAAAACACCTGTCACCAGAACGCAACATGTTAGTTGCCCAACATTTATTTCTATCCGAAGTTCAATCCCATAAACAATCAATTATCGAATATGTACAACAAAACTTAAAAGCGCATGTAAATTTCGATATAAATGTACGTGCGAAATAGATGTTTCCACTGCCGATATGTTTCTACGCATTCAATTTATTCGTGGAATTAAACGTAGCTGGATAATGGAGCAGCTTCTGCAATCGGATCGTACGGATTTCAACCAAATTGACAAAAAGCCATTGCACTGGAGGCAGCAATACTGCATGAGACTCTGGTTTATTTAACGAGTCCTGGAATGAATTGAAATGTATTGTAGTGCAGTAACATAAGACTGGCAATTCAAAACTTGGAAATAGGCGAAATTTTAATAAATCTACTACAGTTAGGTCTGATTGAATATTTTCAAGGGTATGTACTAAATAGAGGCAAAAAATGCAACACAAAAATTGAATAAAAATGAACATTTTAGTCTAGTACAAGAAATGCACATAACTCCTCTCGGGTTGCAACACGAGAAAGTTGGAAAATGGGAAAAAACAATAAAATAAACATATGGGTAAGACAAGACAAACCCTATGCTGCTCCTGGTTTTATGATCTGGATAACCGACTCCGTGCTAGCAAATGGTCGTGGGGTTAACGTTGGGTGTCCAGGGCGCCAAGAGCGATAAATCCTTAATTTGGAGACCCAGTATACGTACAAAACTTGTTTCCGCTCTAAAAACAATATTTAGGAAGGAACTGTAAGGGTTAAAACATCAAATAATAAAGTGCAAGAAGGGGGTGTTTGTATTAATTGAAAGATTAGAATTTCAAGGTTACATGTATGTGGAAAATAACTACTTATTCGTTAACCGTCTGTTCTAGTTTTTTTAAATATTTCAGGATAACATTTATTGATGGTAGCGAACGCTTTTAACAAGGTTTCAAATGAGAATGATGCAGGGTTTATTTTACGCAAGGGCTCAGGGTGACGTCAGAAAGGCCTTCCCTAGGTCGGTGATACCCGTATCTGTACCTAACCTAGGGTACGTGACTACTAAAACGGGGTGGAATTGTTAATCGCTATACAAATCGGTGAAAAATGAATAGTTATGATGTTCAAAAGTAGTTCTAATGATTAGACGGATTTTGTTTATGTTTCTACATAACCCCAATAAAATAATAATTTTTACATGTAGCTGAAGGCTTTTGAAATATTGAAAGGTAAGTAATTAAGTAAGTAAACAGATCCAATAGTCACAATTTTATACAGTTACAGTTTGGATAAATCGATGACTTCACAGGGAACAAATGGACGACACAAACGGAATGCTCTGACCTGGAAGTTGAGTGGACGTTCCAGTCTCGACACA